CTAGAACAGAACTAGAACAGAACTAGAACAGAACTAGAACAGAACTAGAACAGAACTAGAACAGAACTAAAACAGAACTAGAACAGAACTAGAACAGAACTAGAACAGAAGAACAGAACTAGAACAGAACTAGAACAGAACTAGAACAGAACTAGAACAGAACTAGAACAGAACTAGAACAGAACTAGAACAGAACTAGAACAGAACTAGAACAGAACTAGAACAGAACTAGAACAGAACTAGAACAGAACTAGAACAGAACTAGAACAGAACTAGAACAGAACTAGAACAGAACTAGAACAGAACTAGAACAGAACTAGAACAGAACTAGAAACAGAACTAGAACAGAACTAGAACAGAACTAGAACAGACTAGAACAGAACTAGAACAGAGCTAGAACAGAACTAGAACAGAACTAGAACAGAACAGAACTAGAACAGAACAGAACAGAACTAGAACAGAACTAGAACAGAACTAGAACAGAACTAACGAACTAGAAAGAACTAGAACAGAACTAGAACAGAACTAGAACAGAACTAGAACAGAACTAGAACAGAACTAGAACAGAACTAGAACAGAACTAGAACAGAACTAGAACAGAACTAGAACAGAACTAGAACAGAACTAGAACAGAACTAGAACAGAACTAGAACAGATACTAGAACAGAACTAGAACAGAGCTAGAACAGAACTAGAACAGAACTAGAACAGAACTAGAACAGAACTAGAACAGAACTAGAACAGAACTAGAACAGAACTAGAAACAGAACTAGAACAGAACTAGAAACAGAACTAGAACAGAACTAGAACAGAACTAGAACAGAACTAGAACAGAACTAGAACAGAACTAGAACAGAACTAAAGAACTAGAACAGAACTAGAACAGAACTAGAAACAGAACTAGAACAGAACTAGAACAGAACTAGAACAGAACTAGAACAGAACTAGAACAGAACTAGAACAGAACTAGAACAGAACTAGAACAGAACTAGAACAGAACTAGAACAGAACTAGAACAGAACTAGAACGAACTAGAACAGAACTAGAACAGAACTAGAACAGAACTAGAACAGAACTAGAACAGAACTAGAACAGAACTAGAACAGAACTAGAACAGAACTAGAACAGAACTAGAACAGAACTAGAACAGAACTAGAACAGAACTAGAAAAAACTAGAACGAACTAGAACAGAACTAGAACAGAACTAGAACAGAACTAGAACAGAACTAGAACAGAACTAGAACAGAACTAGAACAGAACTAGAACAGAACTAGAACAGAACTAGAACAGAACTAGAACAGAACTAGAACAGAACTAGAACAGAACTAGAACAGAACTAGAACAGAACTAGAACAGAACTAGAACAGAACTAGAACAGAACTAGAACAGAACTAGAACAGAACTAGAACAGAACTAGAACAGAACTAGAACAGAACTAGAACAGAACTAGAAACAGAACTAGAACAACTAGAAAACTAGGAACAGAACTAGAACAGAACTAGAACAGAACTAGAACAGAACTAGCACAGAAACTAGAACAGAACTAGGAACAGAACTAGAACAGAACCCTAGAACAGAACTAGAACAGAACTAGACAGAACTAGAACAGAACTAGAACAGACACTAGACACAGAACTAGAACAGAACTAGACCAGAACTAGAACAGGAACAGAACTAGAACTGAACAGAGCTTTAAGAACATATCTAGAACCGAACTACAAAAAATATAACTATATTCATGTGTAAACTTTGGTTGCTCTGGTTATGACTGTTCTAAACACATATTTTTTTATTCCATAGTTTGGATTATTATTTAAATGTTTTTAAGTATAATGTGAAAATTAAATACATCATCCTGGTATTTCTATTCAGTTTGATAATTTCGAAAATATGAATGAACTTTTCATAAAATCACAATAACATGCAAATTATGGTATTTATTGGAGACGACCAAACTAAATTATTATTATTATTTATAAGAGTGAGTCATTTTTATACAGCATTCAGTTTAACTTTAATATATGTACATAATATAGTTTATTTTTCCAATATTATTTAACCAATTTTATATTTGCCTTCGCTATAAATCTTTAAATAATGATTTTTTTGTTAACAATATAATTTTGACATTTAAAAATCTATATTTACACAACGAATCACTCAAGCGTCAAACGTATACTTAATACAGGAAATTAAATTGAAATATTATGTATACGCACCCTATAGTGAAAAATTTAGCTTGTTTCAATAAAATTATAACGAAAAAAACTTTTAAATACCAATTATAAACATCTTGTTTCTTTAAATACTATATGCTTTAATAGAAGGCAATAAAAACAACTTAAAAAATAAAACTAAAATATAATAATACGTTGTCAACATCACAATAGAACTAATCCTTGAATAAACTATTTTAAACCACCCAAACAACAATAATTTTTTTTCTATTTTTTACAAGTTTAAACACATACAGTGTTTAAACCACATTCAAACAATAAATGTTGTAGTTATTGTGTTTATTAAAACAGAAAAAAGACATAAACTTTAACAAATGTTCATTTAAATGTATAAATGAGGATATAAATATTGTACGAATGTGGTAGTAAATATTTTACAAATACTATTGGAAAAATTTATGCATATTTTGAATTGTATTGTATATAAATCAGAGCTGGTATTTTTTGGTTGCAGTTTCGAAATAGTATAAATATGTTTATGTTGCTCTAACATTGTAGAAAATTTAAATTAGTTTATGAATTTAATCATTAAAATTACTTTAAATTATTTCAACATTAGGAACAATTTAGTGATTAGTTAATTCCTACAAATGTTAGTAAAATAATATAAAAATTTAACCAAAAGGCTGCAAAGAAGAATATGTAACTGGAAATTAAAAATTAAAAAAAACTTAATTATCGTGTCCTAATCATCATTTTATGGTGCATTTAATATTGTTTGCGGTTTGTAGTTGTCTGCTTAATAGTCCTTAAAAAAGTACTAGAACAGAACTAGAACAGAAGTAGAACAGAACTAGAACAGAACTAGAACAAAACTAGAACAGAACTAGAACAGAACTAGAATAGAACTAGAACAGAACTATAACAGAACTATGACAGAACTAGAACAGAACTAGAACAGAACTAGAACAGAACTAGAACAGAACTAGAACAGAACTAGAACAGAACTAGAACAGAACTAGAACTGAACTAGAACTGAACTAGAACTGAACTAGAACTGAACTAGAACTGAACTAGAACTGAACTAGAACTGAACTAGAACTGAACTAGAACTGAACTAGAACTGAACTAGAACTGAACTAGAACTGAACTAGAACTGAACTAGAACTGAACTAGAACTGAACTAGAACTGAACTAGAACTGAACTAGAACTGAACTAGAACTGAACTAGAAACTGAACTAGAACTGACTAGAACTGAACTAGACTGAACTAGAACTGAACTAAGAACTGAACTAGAACTGAACTAGAACTGAACTAGAACTGAACTAGAACTGAACTAGAACTGAACTAGAACTGAACTAGAACTGAACTAGAACTGAACTAGAACTGAACTAGAACTGAACTAGAACTGAACTAGAACTGAACTAGAACTGAACTAGAACTGAACTAGAACTGACAAGACTGAACTAGAACTGAACTAGAACTGAACTAGAACTGAACTAGAACTGAACTAGAACTGAAACTGAACTAGAACTGAACTAGAACTGAACTAGAACTGAACTAGAACTGAACTAGAACTACTAAACTGAACTAGAAACTGAACTAGAACTGAACTAGAACTGAACTAGAACTGAACTAGAACTGAACTAGAACATGAACTAGAACTGAACTAGAACTGAACTAGAACTGAACTAGAACTGAACTAGAACTGACTACTGAACTAGAACTGAACTAGAACTGAACTAGAACTGAACTAGAACTGAACTAGAACTGAACTAGAACTGAACTAGAACTGAACTAGAACTGAACTAGAACTGAACTAGAACTGAACTAGAACTGAACTAGAACTGAACTAGAACTGAACTAGAACTGAACTAGAACTGAACTAGAACTGAACTAGAACTGAACTAGAACTGAACTAGAACTGAACTAGAACTGAACTAGAACTGAACTAGAACTGAACTAGAACTGAACTAGAACTGAACTAGAACTGAACTAGAACTGAACTAGAACTGAACTAGAACTGAACTAGAACGGAACTAGAACTGAACTAGAACTGAACTAGAACTGAACTAGAACTGAACTAGAACTGAACTAGAACTGAACTAGAACTGAACTAGAACTGAACTAGAACTGAACTAGAACTGAACTAGAACTGAACTAGAACTGAACTAGAACTGAACTAGAACTGAACTAGAACTGAACTAGAACTGAACTAGAACTGAACTAGAACTGAACTAGAACTGAACTAGAACTGAACTGAACTAGAACTGAACTAGAACTGAACTAGAACTGGACTAGAACTGGACTAGAACTGAACTAGAACTGAACTAGAACTGAACTAGAACTGAACTAGAACTGAACTAGAACTGAACTAGAACTGAACTAGAAACTGAACTAGAACTGAACTAGAACTGAACTAGAACTGACTAGAACTGAACTAGAACTGAACTAGAACTGAACTAGAACTGAACTAGAACTGAACTAGAACTGAACTAGAACTGAACTAGAACTGAACTAGAACTGAATTAGAACTGAATTAGAACTGAACTAGAACTGAACTAATGAATTAGAATTAAATCTGACAAAGGCGGATTTCTATAAATTGTTTTAGAGACCCCTTTTGAATTGCCTATGATATACATTAAAATATGAAGATTCATTTTTACAAAATGTACATATTTAAGTGAGGTTAAATATGACTTGAGTTATTTATTTGTTGCAGTACATTTTCATTTATTACATTAATATATTATTCAGCACTCTGTTTATTTATTTTTTATATTGTATATTTATTATATTTTTCTTTTATACATTCCAGCCCACTCACAAAATGCAGTCGGGTGAAGGTGCTCCTACAATTTCGTTACAATTAGTGCCAAAAATGTTGGCACCTTTGGTCAGTCTCTGGGTGCCACATGCATTTGTTGTTTCATTTAAATTGGAAACAGATGAAAATTTATTGATTACAAAAGCTCGTGATAGTTTGAGTAAATATAAACATAAGGTAAGTTGAAAAGAAAAAAATTAAAGCTGAACAAAAAAAAAAAGAGAACGGAAAATAAATAGTAATACAATTGAATGTAGTTTTATATGATTTTGTGTTATTGAGGAGGTATTTGTATTTAAGCATCCAATTTTTGTTTGAATTTATCTATATGTTTGTTTTTGTTATTGTTGGATTGTAACACGTTTAATTTAATATTCCACATACGGATGTGAAAATAGTTTCAACTTTTAAATGGCGTATTATTCCGCTTTTGTATAATGTAAGGAAATGTGTAGGTATTAGTGTACTTTATAGTATGGTGGATTGAAAAGTAGTTATAGGAACCCTAAATAAATATTTAATGCAAAGTTTATCAGTAAAAATAACAAAAATATATATTACATTACATTTATAAAAAGACTATAAAAAAATATTAGTATGTCGCTTTCAAAAACTACTAATATAGCAATATGTTCAAATACGTACTCAACATCAGTGATATATGACTCTAAAATAATGTGAATTGTAAGAACTCTAGTAGTGGTTCTCTCATTTTAACACGATATTAATCATGAAGGGAAAATTAAGCCTTATTTTTGATTATTCAAAGCAAACTCTCTTAAATATATTTATCAATTTAAATTGAAGTATTTAATCTAGTAAAAATTTGAAAAATTGTCTATACAAATATGTTAATACACATGTTGTATTTTTATGGTAAATAGTTGTATCCATGAAAGTATATATAAGTTTATGGCTGAGAGTGTTAGTTTGTGTGTTGTGTCTGTGTTTGTTACGAACATTTTCCAGCAGTTCTCAGTTACCCATTCATGCAGAGAATCACCCAAAAGTATAGAGCCCCATTATATCGCTCAAAACATAAGGGCTTATTTGATGATAACAAAGGACTTTTTCTATAAATTGTGCGGTAGTTTTTAAAATTTTGAAATATTTATACAATATAAATTTAAGTATTGGCTATGACCATTTCTAATACTTCTGTCAACATATGGATTCCACACCGAAAGAACAGCACATCTTTTTAGGCCAAGAGAGAATCAAGTTCGAAACAAATAGTAGTCGGACGGGGCAATGTCAAGACTATAAATCACTTCTTTCAAGTGACTATAGACTAGTCCATAGACTATAGACAAGTCCACAGACTACAGACTAGTCCATAGACTATAGACTAGTCCATAGACTATAGACTAGTCCAGCGGTTCCCACCGATTTTTACTTCGCGGACCCCTTGAAGAACTTATTTAATTTCGCGGACCCCCATACATATTTTGATATTCTACTGTTCTAAATAATTGTCCATCCGAAAATTGACCTAGTCCATTAATCCCTAGGTCTAATAAATGTAGAGATGTCATATCTATAAAATATTCCCGTACATTGAGAATATATAATATTTCAGATAGGTTTTCAATTGCATGTTTTGAAGATAGAATGACTTCTTTGTTGATATGTTTCATGATGTTTCATTTTCTGATCGTGAGATCTTTCATGTTCATTTTTCTTCAAGATAGCGAAAAGGTCACGTTTCAAAAATTTGTTGCGATTGCAAAGGTTGAACTGAGTAAGTGAGATAAGTTTTCGGGAAAATAATATAAGAAAGTTGGACTTCTTTTATGTTGTTGCGGAATGCGTTATCCGCATAATATATGATTTGAACTCTTTGTTAAAGTACTGTGCATTTGGAACTTAAATTTGAATTTTAAAATACCAACGAATTATTTTACTTCATGGTTTTTGGCTACTTTATGGTTTTGAACTTCATACTCCGGAATACCAGTATCCCTAATTTAATTGTAAGGCAGAGTATTATTTGTCTGAAATAAAAACCATTATTTCAGTACATATACAGGAAATAAAAATTACAAATCACGCAATACTTTACTTTATAAAAGTTATACAATAAATTTGTAGGGCCTAGCTTCTTCCTGATAAACAACCGAAAAAATAAAATTCAAAAAGTCACCAAAAAATTTGGGATTATTACACAAAAATTGGAGATATTTGTACTACATATAAAAGAATATTGTCTATTCATGTTTTTTTCGTTCGTCTTCGCGGACCCCCTAGGATTTTACTACGGACCACTAGGGGTCCGCGGACCCCCATTTGGGAACCGTTGGACTAGTCCATAGACCAGTCCATAGACAATAGACTAGTTCATAGACTCTAGACTAGTCCATAGAGTAATTAGTTAGTTAGTTAGTTAGTTAGTTAGTTAGTTAGTTAGCTAGTTAGTTAGTTAGTTAGTTAGTTAGTTAGTTAGTTAGTTAGTTAGTTTAGTTAGTTAGTTAGTTAGTTAGTTAGTTAGTTAGTAGTTAGTTAGTTAGTTCGTAGTTATTAGTTTTAGTTAGTTATTTCGTTAGTTAGTTAGTTAGTTAGTTAGTTAGT